TGTTTTCTTTAATAAATAAATGAGAAAGATTTGTAATCTGTAAAAGGAATTTAGTCTAAATGTACATAGGTAGCTCTAAAGTACCAGCAGACCACCTGATTTCTTCAACAGGTTAAAACTCTCCTTGCAATATAGTTAATGAAAACTTTTTCCATGTATCATGGAAAGGTAAACTTTATCTGGCCTGTTTCCCAATTATTTAAGTTCCGAATCACTGAAATATAAATAAATGAGACTTTACCGTACTTAGAACACCAGTATGATGAAAAATTTGTTTACACAAGGAGGTTTTAGGTCATCCTTCAATCATTCATCCCCAGAACCAGAGTATGTGAGCGCGCAAGCACTCACGCATATGCACACGCGCGCAAACACACACACACACACACACACACACACACACACACAAATATGACACATGGTAAATGTTGGGCAATTACTGAGATGGAACAAAGGAGACCTTCAAATTCCATCGCCTTTTTAACCTTATCTTTTTCTATGCAAGAATCTAGAAAGCCAAATCAAAGGCATCCAAATAATGTTTTTAATCATGACATACTAAGCCCTTTATCTCTAATTCCTTGTCTTTTAAACACATTACTTTGGTCTAGGTGGTGCTAAGTCGAAGACTAAAAAGGAGTATTTTTAAAATATTAACAAATTTGAAGAGAAAATATTCATTTTGGCTAAATCGGTTCCAAATGTAAAGAGTTTCTTAAAAAGTGTTCCAGGTGGCCATGTGAAGGAACTTTAATTATTGCAAAAGGCTACACCTGTAGATGTTTTCTAATCTAAAACTAAACCTGTAAGGCTCTGCTGGAATTATTTAGAAAAGAATAATTGAAACCCCCTTCAGCAAGTTAATTCAGGTTCTCCTAATTTTACTTTTCTGGTTCACAAGGTATCTTTTTTATCGTGGTGTTTTCAAATTGAAGTTCACACACATCAAATAAATAGCATGATAATCAGAGGTTTCAATATCCAATACACATTCATTATTATCTATCATTATTGTCAGTGTCACTATTATAATTGCACACTGTAAAAAGAATGGAAGCTTTTCCACAGGAATTATTCACATGTATTACTTTCTAGGAGTAATTGAATAGTTGACATTGCATTTATATCAAAGTAAAATATGTGATGGTTTTTCTCATTTGTTTTATTCTTAAGAAACAAAAAAATGTAGAGTGATCTCTATTAGACCCCTTTATTTGGATCCAGAAAGATTCAGTTTCATGAAATGTTTAAATGTGTATTTTCTCATAATAAGGCTCAAAAGATATTCAATATGGTTAAAGTAATAATTTTCTAAGAACAGATAACAACTGGGTAGTGAAGTCCTTTTAATTAGCTTGTATTTATATACATGAACTCAACAAGGAACTCAGTGACAAATGTTACTTTTCCTTTTTTAACTAATCAGGTTTGGTATGTTGAAATGAAGCCCACGTTGTATTGCCGATATTTACAGATTAATAGTTTACCTTAGAGTTTACATAGAACTTTCACTTTATCATATTATATAATCCTCATGACAATCCCTGGAAGAGGTAAGTCAGATACTATTAATCTATTTAAAGATGAGAAAACAGAGACTCCAAAAAGCCAAGTAATTTACACAAAATTACTCTGTGGAATAGAAAATTTAGCCTTAAAGCATCTCCTGGGTGGCTCAGTCAGCTGAGCATCTGCCTTTGGCTCAGGTCGTGATCCTGGGTCCTGGGATTGGGCCCCACAGCAGGCTCTAATCAGTGGGGAGTTTCCTTCTCTTTCTGCCTCTGCTCCTCCTCCTGAGGGTATGCTCTCTCTCTTCCTCTCTCTCTCTCAAATAAATGAATTAATGAATAAATAAATAAATAAATATAAAATCTTTTTTAAAAAAGGGAAAGAAAGAAAAGAAAATTAGCCCTAGAATCCTGGTCATCTGGGTCTTAATCAGAAGTTACGATAAGACAAAAATTTTTTAAAGAAATTTGAAGTTTTCAAAGATCATAGGCCTGGGAACATTAGGAGGCCTGTGTTTAAACACTCTCCATGCCATTTAGTTTGACTATGAGAACTTTCTAACATCCCTGTAAATGGAGTTATTTCTGTAACATGAGGCTATTTCCATAGTAAATGGAGAAAATAGGTAGGAAACGATTCACATGAGTTCTGTGAGTCTCTGCATTTTTTCTTCTGCCTTCTGCTACTTCTCACATGCTTTATTCCTATTTTTGGCTTCTATTTAATTCACCTTCGCAAGGTAGAGTTTTAAACTTTATTTAGACTTAAATAATATTGATAGTGGGTTAGAAAATCAAGTGACACAAGCTTTAGAAACAAAATCATCTAAGTGAGATGCCGCAATAAGTCAAATGAATATATGAATACAGTAGTGCAAGTTTAAAATATGTCTTCACTCACTAAAAGGCCATACACAATGAACTTAAAACACTGGTCCTTCACAGGAAATGCACAACCAATGAGGGTCAGGTGGAATTGCCTTTCCTTCCATATAATCCTGCATCACATTCCATGAGAAGGCTGTATGGTTCTGAGACTTTTAGTTTATGTGGAGGTTTTCATTACTGCTATACTAGGTAGCCCTTTGAATCATGTCATTGTTGGCAGGGGTGAGGGTGGTTACCATTTTCCAATTGTTCAGTGCCTTAGGTATTGGTAATCTCAGGCCATTTCTTAGAGCACAGATGGCAGTGAGTGGCTCTTCGGACAGAGAGAACAGAGACTCTAGATCCTCTCCTCACCTCCAGAGATGGTCCATCTAAATTGCTGTTGAAATCACTAATATGGATTTGCCCAGGGAAGCTGGCCTTACCAATCAATGAAACAACCCTGCAAACATAGTTAAGTCATTCATTTCTCACCATTTGTCATTCATGGAACACAAAGAAGTACCTTTATTTAAACATTAAAATAGAGATTTAGTTATATTGCTTTGGTCACACTACCACTTCACTGAGTCTTTCCTCTTCTGTCTGACCATAGATACTGGTCCTCCTGCCATCAGCCATAGTCTGGCAGCAGGTAGATGTATCATGTCATGACAGCCACAGAATGGTGCCTGCCAGTCGAACAGGAAATGTCTACACATAGTAACAGACGGCAGCAACCTAAAAAAGAGTATTTGCTCTCATCTTAACTTGTCTTACACTCACAGAGTGGTTGATTCTTTGGACTATAATGACAATAATCAAATAGTCTTATCTTAGTTCTATTAACCATGCATTTAGGAGATTACATAGCACATCAGTTACACAGGTTCTCATTTCAGAATAAAAGAAAGCTACTTCCTTCACTGAGTTTCCATCGCCCTCCCCTCCCACCCTAATCACTGAAATCCTCAAAGTTTGGAGCTCTCTGCTATGATATTCTGGTCTAACAGGCATATATGAGTACAGTCGCAAAGTACTGTAGAATTCAAAGAAGTGAGGGGATGTTTGGTTTGTGACAAAATTGATATTGCAAGCTGACATTACATTGGGCATTCTTCTGTAAGTACGGCTCCCCCCATCCATGATTCCCTGGTAGGAGTTTCTCCAGAAGGTATTATTCCTACCGAGGCATGTACAGCGCATTCAGTGGCACCTGAGTTTCATTAAAGGAATTCTCCTGTTCCCTTCCTTCACATGGAAATGTCATTAACTGTATTAAGTTAACTCTCCGAATGTTAGGTTCTTAACCAACAAACAGTGCTTCTCCACAAGGGCATACTTTGCCAAGCGTCCTTGAATCAGAACGACAGGCTGAATATGTAATAACCGATTCAGAGCCACCACCGCGGGTTGTGATCATAGTTTAGAGGAACCCTTTTGTATTTATTGACTTTTTCCTTCAGTCATGGCTATTCCGTTTCTTCCACCACCACCTTCAGCCTCTCAGGTAAATGAAAAGTTCAATTATATGTAAAGCGACCGTTAAATCAGCAGGCCCCTTGTGGGGGTCTGGGCCTCCCCTCCCCGCTCCAATCGCAAGTGTGCTCAATCCATTAGCCTTCCCAAGGATCGCACATCCATCAGGTCATGTGTGCTGGCCAGGATGCATCTTACAGCTTTTACTGCATATGAGACGTTGCAGGCCTGTTCTCGGGAACTGCCAGGCAGACTGGGAATCACAGTCACGGTTAATAGCAGCGAATTGCCAGCTCTTGATGGGTGGGTAGTCACTCCTTTCAGTGGTTGCCCCCTGGGGGAGAAGGTAGAAAAACAGAGGGAGGGAATTAGAGTGACTTTGCACAGTTGAGCAGGTTCATGCCGCTGGATCAGTGGCAAGCATTGGCAGGGCTCCACTCTGGGGAGGCTCAAAACAACCTCACAGTCTCATTTTTACCAATTGGTGCTGCTGTGTCGCCAGTGGTGCCCAGGGATGGGGCCGGCGGAGGTGGGGGGTGCATGGGAAGGGGAGGGGGAGCTGGGAAGGAGATGAAGGCAGAAGTCTCAGCTAAATTAAACAAAAAGTCTCCTTGATACTGGTTAACCTACCCCAGTTAGCCCCGTGCTACTAATTGTACCAAACTGGTACTCGAAGTTCCCTGGGTGATTAAAGAGTTGGCTCACAAACTCTCTGCATAACCTTAATTTTTTCAAGGTTCTTTGAGTGGAGAATGGCTTATAATAATGATTTTGACTAATACGATTTTTGACATGCAACTTTAATGCTTAACCTTAGTACAACTCCAGAGCATTTCATGTGTACTCAGCTGTAAAGAGTGATGATTTAAAGGGATAATATAAGAAAAAGGTCGTTCTAGAATGAACCTCTAACAAATTGCATAAAGGGAGCTTATTATTCCATGAGTATGGGGATATGCTGCTCTTCTGATCATTTTTCTGCTTGGTTCAAAAAAATTGTTGAGACATGAATGGGAGAAGAAACAGGAAAAAATGAAATAGAAATCTGCAAGCAAGGAACATTCTTTTGATGGTTATGATTTCGTCGCCACTAAAAAGGCTCTACAATAATGTGGTTATTCATCTCCTCTTTTGTTTTGGGTGAAGAATTCGCTCTAACAAGAAAATGCTGTTATTGGTCGGAGGCTTGCCTCCTGGGCCGGACAGGCTCCCCAGCAACTTGGTTCAGTACTACGATGATGAAAAGAAGACGTGGAAAATACTCACAAGTGAGTGCCCTCCTTTATTTATTTACCCATCTATTTATTTCAGCTTAGAGCTGTCTCGATGAATTTGAAAATGTAGCTAATCAAATTAGACATTTTATTGATTTGTTAGCCTTTGGAGGTCTGTTTATGTATCACAGGGGATTTCGAGTAAAAGACTAAATTAACATTGCAGAGGTGGCCAATTTGGTAGCCGAATTGGCCTAAATTAATCTGGCCTAAAAGCACTGCATGAGTTTGTGTCTCTATGACAGAGAGAGGGTGGTCACAGAATGTCCCAAAAGAAATGCCTCGGTTCTTTTTTTTTTTTTTTTTTTTTTGCATATCAAAAAGTGAAAGGTTGGTTAATAGACCTAGTGAATTTTCTCAAATCGTAAGGGGTGTTTGGTTCGTTGTCTACACAACTAACATTCATTTTGCCTTTCAGGCACTTCTGCTCATTCACCTTTAGTCTGTGGAAGTGGGTCTTAGAGAAACATTCCCCTCTATTCTCTGCAGTCCCGATGGACTGATATCCATGGCCTATCCCGGCTGCATTAAATCGTGCTTGCAAACTTCGTCCCGAGATTCTCTTCCTCCCCTCCTTAAAGGGTGATTGTGTTTTACAGCAAACCTCTTGCCTTGGGCACTGAGATTTGGAACTTATTGTTATATCGGCTATGATTCCCAATCTGACTCAGTCATGGAATCAAAAATCATCATTTCTTGAGTGCAGCCGGCTGTGTGCCCCAGTCCCCTCGTGGGCACGGTGACTGCACTGGTCAATAAAACTAAATTTTAACTGTCAAAATTGCCCAGAGCTGTATAGATAAAATAATAAATGAGTAATTTTGATCCATAAATCAAAGCCATACATTTAAAACCGACAAAAGAGAAAGTTAGCTTTTCTTATAGCATGTGTCTTTTAAGCAGTTATGTATTTTATCGGATTTTTAAAAAATCATTTCCTTTCTTCTTACTAAGAGCCCTTTAAAATAATAGAAACGGGACAACAGTTTGCCCATAAGAGCAGAAGAGGAGCAAAGACATGTGAGGTGGTGCTTGAAATAATACATTTTGGAGCTGGCTTACCCCAGTGAAACCGCCAGTAGCATTGTCCAGGAACTGCAACGAGAAAGCTCCCTGGACACCTCTATACTACGGCTGTAGTAAAGAAGTGGGGGTGGGGGTGTCACAGCAGCAAGCCTAAGGAGAAGGAAGAAAGGAAAATATGTTAGAGACCCTTAAAGTGGCTTTCATTCTCTTTTTCACAAAAGCACTGTTAACAGTGATTTGAGCATCTAAATGAGTGATGAAGCCTAATTTTTTTTTGAAGCCTAATTTTTAAAGTAACACCAAAGAATCAGTTATCTGACCCTGATCAATAGGGAATGCCTACACAGAGTAAGACACAGATACTAGGAGGAGGATAGAAGAAAAAGGAAAGACAAAGATTCTTGAAGAGAGAAGACAGAGACGGAGGCCAAAGGAGTGACCCTCATTCACAAGTCCCTCTGCTTTCCCAGTTACACCAGGCAAAGTCTAATTGCTACTGGTTTAAAGTCCTTCGTTAAAGATAAAAAGATTAATTAAAGCATCATGAGTAATACCTAAGAAAAGTCTTATGTTCATTTTAAACCTTTTTTGGAGACAGAGTGATCATCCAATTTATTCTCCAAACTGGGACACTTTAGAGCATGACATGTGGACCCATTGGTTATGCTAGGACAATAGTATAGCCTGAAACTTATGGTCAGCCTACTCAAATTTCTCACATTGCCTAATTTAACTCTTAGAAGGATGTAGTAAGAAAGCATGAATTTGAATCAGGCAGACCTGGGTTCAAATCCATGTCCATGACATTGAGCAAGGCATGTAAATGTCCCAAGTCATGGCTTCATTTTGTAAGCACCATTGTAGTATTTTTATTTTATTTATTTGTTTGAAAGAGAGAGAGTGAGAGAGCATAAGCAGGGGGAGTGGCAGAAGGAGAGGGAGAAGCAGGCTCCATGCTAAGCAAGGAACCTGATGTGGGGCTTGATCCCAGGACCCTGGGATCATGACCTGAGCCAAAGGCAGATGCTTATCTGACTGAGCCACCCAGGAACCCCTGCCACTGAAATAATTTTTAAATAAAATTGTGTTTAGAAGTCATCTAGCACATAGCATGAGCTCAACAGATTGCAGGCGTTATGACCACTATTGTAACAATACTGCCAATATGAGCACAAGGACTGTGTAGACCCTTATACCTTGGAGGCATCAGTCAACTCAAGCTCTCTAGGCAGAGGAGACAAATTACACTGCAACAGATACAGCACTTTGACTCACTGTCCCAGAGCCAGGAGCCTAATTTTCCTATGCTGGATGTGGTAATCTATAGTCTCAGAAGTAGAGATCAATTACTGTCAGTTGATTCCATTCACCAGGTTTGAAATGAAAGGAAATAAAGACATTAATGTGTAGAAAAGTTCTTATAGTGGGAGCATACTCGAAGATCTTGAACCTCTTTTCCATAGTCAGGCATGCTTAGAGCTTTGAAATAAATGTCTACTCCACTTATGCTCTTCATTTCACTGGGACTTGTACTTTAAAAAATAGAGTTTATTACCTGCTGGGCTGTGACTACATGGCCCCAAGTGAAGGCATATTTTTCAGGTTTGTTGGAGAGATATAGACAGTTTATCCGGATGATTTCTGCTGTTGGTTTGTATTTTTTAATTAAGACATCTTATTTGACTAATAAATAAGTCAGGCCACTGACAGATCTCCACACTATTTGGGCCACCAAAAGATGAAGAAATGTTTCTCATTGGAATAGAAAAAAAAAAAGTCCAAGTTCTCCCCAAATCCAACGAACCATTAGGGATTCCAGAGCTTCCCACTGCCATTCTTTTGACCCTGAAGGACCATTGAACTTACTGGCAGAGAAATGAGGATGTGAGGATGACAGTTAATGCTAGCAGACAGTGCCTGACTTGGGGTCTGCTGATCTATTAAACGACTGTCTCCAGACAGACTAACAAGCTAACTAGCAAAAAGCCAAAACCCGAGGTCAACTAGGGCCTCTGAATCTTAGAATCTTTTGCCCACTTGGTTTGAGCAAACATTTCTCAGCCTGTCTCACAAACATGCTCCTTTCATTGGAGGATGCCTTCCACAGGAAGAGCACAGACACCCAGTGATGGGAGCCACATGGCTTACCCAAATCACAGACTAAAGAATAATGAAAAGAAAGACAGTGGTCACTTTCTTTAGATCTTACCTGATTAGGTTACATTTTAGAATCACAGCTGAAAGGCTGTGCAAATAATAAAGTGAAGGGAGGAGGGTGCGTAGAAGTGAGAAAGTGGATCCACATAACATAAAGAACACAAAATCCAACCACCAGCCAGCCAGCAGGCTGGTCTACCCACACAGCAAAGGGAACAATAATTCTCACGGAAAAGACCGTTTGGGTAACGTGCTGACACAGATTGCATTATTATCCGCCTCTTTGGAAAAATCATTTAATATAACATTATATAATTAATGTTGAGAATAGGGACAGAGCTCTGTGGTCTTTCTTAGGAAAAGTACTAAGAAATAACATGTAAAAATGACTGGAGAGTCTTCCTGTCCCTGTAAAACGTTAAGTAATAACAGTAAAATTGGCATTGTTTTTCTCTCGACTGTTAATAACAGAGGGGAAGTTGAGATGCACTTTCATTCATTTTTATTTTACAGTACTGCCTTTCCTGCACTTCTCACTCCTGCGCGCAGTCTCCCGTTTCATTCTTAACTTATTAGAAAGCAGTACAGGAGACATGAATACTAAAATGGCCAGTGCAAAAAAAAACATGCCTCCTGCACTTTGCAGGCCCTAAATCCTTGGTGCAAAGATCAAGCGAAACAATTCCTGTGGCTGCTTTATACTTTGTTTATAACCCCTCTCTGATATGTCAAAGTTTTTATGGGGTCCATTTGAAGAAGTCGTTTACGATCCCTGCCACTGGATAGCACTGAGGAGCCATCTCCTTTCTCCATCTTCTCCATTGGCCAAGTCCTTCCCTGGTGGGGAAAGGTGTTTCCTATGGGCAGACTTCCTTTCCCTGCATTTCAGATGAGACATTCTATTTGTTAGGTGCTGGTTATTGCTTTCTGTGAGCAATGAGAGGGAAAAGGATTTCAAAGTAACAATCTGTCCTTCCATGTGCCCATGATGACTTCCCTTTAATAATATTAGGATGAAAATGAGAAGAACTAACATAGAAAGGCATGTTTGTTCTTGTGGCCACTTCAGTTCTCTTTACCAGAAGTAGGGGGAGAAGGCTTTTTTTCCTTCTTCCTTTCAGTTGATTTGCAGCTCTGTCCTCTACCTGGTAGTGCAGGGATTGGGGCCTTGTATTTTTCAGTCACAGGACATAAAAGAAACTATTGTGCAGAGGTTTCCTGGGCTATCTCCTCTGATCCCTGGGGAACGTTGAATTTGATCCCACCCATATGAGAGCAGTCCTGGGGCTGGGTGTCAGCGATTTCTTTTAGGATTCACAAAGATCAGAGGCTAGTGGACGACTTCTTCTTCTTCTTCTTCTTCTTCTTCTTCTTCTTCTTCTCTTCTTCTTCTTCTTCTTCTTCGAGAGAGAGAGAGAGAGGGGAAAGGTAGAGGGAAAAGGGGAGAGAGAATCACAAGCAAGTTTCATGCCCAGTGCAGAGCCCGACGTGGGGCTCAATCTCAAGACCCCGAGATCATTCCTGAGCTGAAATCAAGGGTCGGTCTCTGAACCAACTGAGCCACCCAGGCACCCTTTCATTCTTTCTTTTTTCAAATTTACTTTTCCATAAATGTTGAAGAATAGTACCAACAAAGCAAATCTTGTATAAGACAGTATAACTTCAGTTCCAAAAGATGAATACAGATTTGATCATATACGATATCTAATAATTGCTGATCATTCAGGAAATATAAGCCTGCACACTGATACTGTCACCTAGACTTCTTTCCTTGACCCTTCTATATCTTGACTTCATTTTATTTCTGTTGA